CATATATTGTATTTTAGAGACTATATCTATTCATATACAGCTAGACCCCGACTTACGACGGGGTTAGGGACCCAAATCCAGGTCGTAAGTCCGACATGGTCGTAAGTCCGACATAGATAAAAAAAATATATATATATATTTTTTTTTAATAAAAAATCTACAATGAAATACAGTACAGTAAAAGTAATGAATAATGATGAATGGATACAGTACAGTGAAAGTAATAAATAATAAGGAATGGATACAGTGTGACTGAGCACTTAACCTTTAATGTAGTCAGCTGAATGCACATGGGGCCCCTATAATTTTCTAATTATACATGGAGACTACATTAACTGGATACGTTTCGGTATAGAAAATGCGTGTGTCATTTGGCGGGCGGTCGTAAGTCCCGACGGTCGTAAGTCCACGTAGTCGTAAGTCGGGGTCTAGCTGTATAACGAGTTATAATTTTTGGGATATGTGTTCGGGTGCCTACTCACACACGAAGACTTATACTGTATGTTCCAATAACAATTCTGATTACTAAATAGTAACCCAAACTAAATCACGTACAGTATAGAGTAAGTCCTCCTTTGACGTTGTCGCCGATAACGTTGTTTCGTTATAACGTCGCTATTCTTTAGATACCCATAATTCGGATAACGTCCCGCCGATTCAGTATAATGTCGTCACGGACTACTTTGTACGGCGCATCACCCTCTGTCATCTTGGTGCGCTACGCTCTCACCTGCGGAGTGTCACAGCGTTCCAAGTGTCCCGTCTTTGTTAAGCTTCAACAGCATTGATGCGTGTTTAAGTGATTTTGCTCTTAATACTGTACTCTAACCATTGCGATAACTTTTTTCTTGGTTGCCTGGTCAGTGCAAGCGAAAACATGTTGAGGTCGGTTCGTAAGTAATTCGTTAACCGAATTTTTGTTCGTTAACCGAATTGAAGATCCTTATGGAAGGCAATTCGTTAACCGAAATTTTGTTAACTGAGGCGTTAGTTAAACGAGGGGTCACTGTATACCAATGCACATATCTACTCAGTCTTCACATGAAAAAGAAGACTTTTCATTTGTACTGAACAGAAAGACATACTGTACTGTAAAATATTCTTTTTCTTCACGTAAAAAATAAATGTGAATAAGTGTTGCACCAAAATTCTTATGCAAATAATATTTTAGCTTACCCCAAAAATAAATTTACAAAACTGTTGCAATAAAGTATACAGTACAGTATACAAAAAGTTTACCTCCAAGTATGTTCTTTCTGATTAATATGGCGGTGGGTCTGGGGAGCTCCTAGAAGTTAGATAAGGTTAGGTTAGATTCTGTACCAGATATCAAAGTATACGATAATAAAGTCGATAGTTAATATATGAGATGATTTTATTTTTCACAATTCCAGTGTAAACATTAATGACGAATGCAGAAAGTTGGCACACATAATTTCATTAGCTTTTTTACTCTAATTTGAATAGTTACACACTTCTCTTTCAACTTTATTCCATTGGATGTGATTTGGTAATATCGGGTGTAAATAGATGCAGTAATTGGCACCCGAATTTCACTATGACACCTCTTTGATGACGAGGTTCAGGTGCAAATAAAAATTTCATTATTTACAGTATCGGGTGTAAATCCTTTCAGCCTTTTTTCTATTTACATAAGATGATGGCTAAGTATCAACTCAATTTCCTTCTTTTTTTTTTCGTCAACTACAATCAAAAAACATAAACAGATTAAACGAACAACCATAACACAACGTCATTCCTGAAATTATTGTGGCCCCCCAAAAAATGTCAAGTAATCTCAAACATCATATCATTGGCACTCAATACGTTACTAGCTACCAATTAGTTATCAAGTGGCAAAATATTCTTAGTCTGTAATCTTTCATAACTTACCAGACCTCACCTAAAATACTCCAATTATTTCCTCATTTATTCCCCCAAAATAGAAGTCCTTTCATAAGTCAAAACTGATACCTTGCAACGGTAATGATTGAGAAGATTAGCATCAGAAGGATTTTATGGAAATGCACCAAATTTTTAGGAGGTATTGTTTAGATGATTTTAAGTAAGGAAATCGAAACGACAATGCACAGAACCTATTAGAACCTGACCTAACCTACCTAACTTCCTACTCTGTGCACTGTCGTTTCGATTTTCTTTATTATCATCTAAACAACATCTTTTGAAAAAATTAACGAATTCAATTCAATATAAATCGTAACAAACACGCCCGCTGAGATCGTTGTGCATCTCTCGCCATGCAAATAAAGACTGCAGACGCTCACATATTGCAGACGATGTGATTAAAAATGTGGCCGCCATGGAAATTGTGCCAGAATTACGGTCAATAATTTATTTCTTCGCCTACAGTACAAAGCAAGTAGAGATGTGAAAAACTGCCATATGATCAGTGTTCGCATTTACCCCGTTAATCCCCTCCTCTTTCATGTCCTGCCGACAATTACTGACGACTGGCCCGCAGCGGATTTTTCATAGAAAACGATTTCACTGTTTTATAGTGAATACTGTAGATAATATGAACGAAATATATAAATGCATTCGGGTGCTGTCTGCTCCAATTTGACCATTTCGTTAGGTAGCTGCCAAGGCTGGAACAACAACTTAAATAGTAACAAAAATAGTAATAAAAAATAGTAATAATACTCACTAGTGGTCTTGCTGGTGACGTCAATCCGAGGTCAATAATTATCATTTAACAGAGATCATTAAATTTCAATTTTCAATCACCAATTTTCACTTCACCGAGATCAATAATAACACTTAAGTCACACAAACACTCATTAAATATCTCAAACAATATCACTTGTTTAATTATTAGTTAATTTTAGTAGTTGCCAAAACGTCACTTGACATACTACATACTGAAGATGTGATTGAAATTGTCGATAATTTTTCCAAAAAGTTCTGAAATACGTTTGAGAAGTTTGTTTATACCTTGCTATAACACTTTAAACTTTCACTCCCTTCCACACCATAGCTTTTATCTTAGAAGTACTTAGCGCCATTATTTTAGCAATGTTTTACAAAGTAGATGTGAGAATCAGTTCACGGTAGTATGCTATGTGGAAAAAAGGAAATGATATCGTGACCGTTTAGTCGACTGAAGTCTGATCATGAACGGGCTTCGAGACGGTCCGAGCCTCCGTCACTAGGTCAGCCGGAAACCCTCATTGTTTTGCTAAATTCTTCAACCTTTTGCTTATTATAGCATCTCAAGTTTGATTTCTATTTTAGTATATGAAGAAAGAATATTAATAAAAAGTATATGTATAGATAGATGAAAAACTCTTTTAGTTTTCATATATCTTTGTAGTTTCAAATATTTAATACCGTGTAAGAGAAATTATGGGTACAAATTGGAAATTTTAGAAGGTGATAATATAACAGTCATAAAATATGTTTTTGACGATCTAGAGAAACATATATGATTAGATTTATATATAATATTACCTTCAATATTAAAACTAACACTAATATTACAATTGTCACGACTTAAGAAAACTTTTCGTGTTTATATGAAGTTTTGTACTGTAATGTGGCGAAGATTATGGTAGACTTGGCATATATTTGACGTGACTCGCTCGTTAAAGCTGACGTAAAAATAGATGTGAAGAAAATATTTCAGGCGTATGTATGATTGTTTCTAAAGTGGCAACAGGGATCGTCCATAATCAGGAGAGTATAATAAACACAGTTATTATCTGTTAAGATTGAATCGAGATCAGGTGGTTTGTGTAAATAAATAGAGGTTCATTCATATCAGTTCTCCCCACTTAACTGAGGGTGGTAAGTTTGCTCTTAATAAGACGATTATTCTTCAAATTCATGATGGCATAATATCAACAGCAAATTCTAGCAGTCTTATCCTATACAAATATATTGTACAAATTGAATGCCTAATTACAGACACCAGAGTTGTAAAGTAACTAAATAATTTTACTTAAGTACTGTACTCAAGTAAAATTGTTGGGTATCTACTTTTTAAAGGTTAATATTACGACTAACCCGCGGACGAGTTATTTTTATTACTGTTTATTTTCTTACTTTATTCTTAACAGTGAGTTCTAATATGATCTTCATTTCTTGTGCAAATTTTTCGTTTCATAGATAATTAGGCGCCTAGACGTGCACTAATTTGTCTTCCCAGCGGTAATGAGGACTCGCTCTGGTGCTGTAACAAAATCCGGTACTTTTACAACTCTGATAGACACCCAGGACATGCCTTTTAAAACGTTTGTAATAGTAGCAAGGAAAAGGCTGAATATAACGAATCCTTAAGCAGCCATAAAGCAAATTATCCCTTATAGGAAACAAAATAATACTTGGAGAGCTTTTTATTGGGTTCAGGGAAATAAGTGACTTACGTGTTGGTACACTAGGCTCTCGCTTGCTTAGCCACGCCTGTTCAACAGAGGTAGAGGTGACTGAATCCTTTTACTTACTTATATCCTCTTCACCACTGATAGGCCCGTTAGCTGCTTTTATGGTCGGTCACGTCTCTGTTATGCACTTATGGCAAGTACTGGGCATGTGCTGCAGGGGCGTACCCAGGATTTCATCAAAGGAGGGGGGGGGGGCGAATTAACTACGAACTTAGATTGGTAATATTATATTGGAATCCAGGAATGTGATATGCAAATTTGCTACCACAGTCACTAGCTTGTGGGCCTATCTTTATAACTTTCGTTACACAATAATTCATGCTAGGCACAAATACATACTTCACAAACTAACTTCTCTTTAACACTTTCTAAAACAATATCCTTCTTTACTTGATAATCACAGATAAGCACGCACACCGGTGAGCCTTTTTTATTACCTAATCACAGGTAGTTACTAAAAAGAAAGCATGAATTAAGTAAAATCTTCACTGAATTAATATATATTAATTAGAAAGGACATAACATTAATACTATTCAAGCTGCTATGTTATATTTGTTCTAATATTAGGTTAAAACGTCTAGAATCAAAGGGTCATCATTTAGACTGAGTTTATTTGTTTATAGCCATTAGGGCAAAACCTGACAATCTATCTTCCTCCATGGTGCTAGGCAGCCAGGTTTTTAGTCTCCGTAGATTCAAGAATGATCTTTCAAGGCTTGCAGTTGTAACTGGTTTGGCAGCAATAACCTGCAGCAATCTGTTTATGACAGGAAAGCTGTTGTTGTCACATTTTACTAGAGCTGAGATAGCATCTGTGAGCCTAGTATTGTGGGGTGTTAATTTCCACATTTCTGCCCAAACATCCCATTCTCCTAGAGTCTAGAGCCTGCTGAAGTGTAGCGTGAGGAAGTAAATGGGTCAATTTCGGATATTTTGATTTACAAATTAAGTATTGTTTGAGAAAGTTTAATGTAGACTCGCACAAGACTTATTTAAATCATTTGTAATTATTTACAATTCAGGTACAGGACAGTGGCCCTCCCAATTGTCTCTCTAACCACAAGCGTTACCGCATCCCTCAGCTCAGCAGGTCAAGCGACAACACGGAACACGGAGACATAACACAGATATTGGTGCTTCGTTGACATTTTAATATACAGTAGTGTAAATACATTCCACGTTATGAGCTGCAGTTAGTTATTTCAACGTATTGTGGCAACTAATTGAAAGACAAATTAACTGAGGCACATAAGGATATCACTGAGGTATTTTTACCAAGTGACAGACATATAGATATTAACATGACCACTTAATTCTAGAGGGTCTTGTTTATAATGTTTTTGCAATGCACTACTTTTGATAAATCTAACTTAGATTTATCAAAAGTAGTGAATGATACTTAGATTATCTAAGTGTCCTTCGGGTTCATCGTATTAACGATGGCATGATACAAAGTTATTACAGTGTGTCGAAATGTTGACTTTCAGGAGTGCAGGTTTTACCATTGTATAGCAGATGTCTTAAGTTTCACATATCTGATGCTCATATGAATTAGATTTAGGGAAGACCATTTTCATAAGGTAGATTCCGAGGGGGGTTGGGAGGGTGTTCCTGGTTGGGGTCATTTCTACAGCTGCTCTGAGACCTTCCATTGTATAACATGTTTGGCATTGCCTCAGGAGGCTTAAGTTACTGGATATAATTCCTCCAAGGCACAAGTACTCCACCACAGTCATTAATAGCGTTCATACCGATGACGCAAAAACAGATAAGAATGATAATGCTAGTACACAGGAACGCCCCCACCAGGAAACGGTTTACCACCACCAGCTTCCCTGTGTGCCCAGTGTTTGATCTTGGCGGAGTATCCTTGTGTCCAGTGTTTGGTCCTGGGGCAGAGATGTCCTTGTGCCTAGTGTTTGCTGTAGGGGCACTGTAGGGAGCAATCTTCGTTGTTCGATGGTTCTGGGGGCCCAAACGCAAGTTCTCGACGTAGACGAGAGCGACGATGATACCAAACACCTCGCAGATCAATACCAGGTACCACACGTCGATCAGCTTGAGGTATGAGGTCTTGGGATTGGACTGGCTGGTCTGGGCAAAGAAGCCGGCGAGAACGAGCATAGAGGTGAGGGTGACCATGATGCGGTCCTGGGGATGGGGAGAGGCTGCTGGTGATACACGACTGCTACTAAATGACCAGAGACGCTCCTGTTTCTATCTAGTTTTTAAGTGATTGTTTTCCTTGGTGACTATATGAAAGATCAGTTGTATCTGAGGAGTTTCTGTATAAGACTATGCTTACTATTCAAAAGTTGCTGAAGGTCATAGGGAACCTATTCTATCTAGGGCTCTATCCCGAATGAGCCAATTCCTGAACACCCATAATCAAACTGGCATTATAGTACCAGTGCAATCAATAATGTCTGCATTATTTACTGACCAGGATGACTAAATACATAAATATAAGGAAATGTGAGGAATTACTCCTGATTATAGTCAGCCATAAGGATGGAGGCTCACTGAGTATGGGGCTCGGTAGGATGGGTCCCATTACCTTTAATACTCACGAGCGAGGCCTGTCACCGACGGCTCGCGTCACTGGCACTATTGCAGTATTGCCTCCCTTCTTCCTGACACCTTCTACCCTTCTTCCTGACACCTTCTACCCTTCTTCCTGACACCTGCTACCCTTCGTTCCTCTACAATATAGTACTAGAACGTTAAAGAGTGCTTTGATAAATTCTCGTTTTATTCTTCTTGCAACATAAATAATAACTGTTGCTCTCAAGAGAATACATTTCTAAAATAAAAGTAATTTAATAGATAAATAATAATTATAGTGTGAAAACCGAAATAAGCACTAATGTGTAGGCAATTTTAATTAACGTTATATCTAGACAAAGTTGTTCTAGATGTGAGCTTCTGATTTCCCTTAACCCAATTTTACTAACTTTGTGGATCTAGGCTCTTGATTTTTCCCTAATAGTAAGACACTGACCGTGAAGTCATCCAGGTCGAAGCAGAACGTGAGGCAGCAGACGAGGGAGAGCATGAAGCTGGGCAGGAACACGTTGGCCAGGTAGTAGCGGTACTGGTTACTCAGTTCCAACTCCACCTGGGACACACAAACACCACACTGACTGGTAGGTAACATAAACCTCACTTGTTAGACTGATTAGGTTGGGTTGGGTTGGGTTGGGTTGGGTTAGTGCTCGGGTGTTTATTCTTCAGGTGAAATAAGCTGGGGTGCCTATCCTTCTCGTAATCTCCTAAAGGAATGTGGATAACAACTCTATTAACCAACCAGGAGGATGTTGACATTGTAGAGTGTATGCTGGGTGATGACTTCCCTCTCCAGCTTGTACTCCAGTAGACTACGCTCTCCCTCGAACACCACACCCGGGCCATCCTGCAAGTCTCAAGATTTTTAGTTAGATTTAAATTAACTTTTGAAACAACTTATTCACTAAAATTTTCAGAAAGCTCAAAACAGATTTATTTGGTATACATAAATAAAAGATTTAGTCCCAAATCATCAACTTCATTGGAGAGACATATCAAAGGTGTGTGACTTATAATGACGGTGTATTAAAAGATAATTAGAATGCAAGCAATATGACAGATGGTAAGGTAAGTTTATAACATGCGATTAATTGAGGATCTGATTCAGTGGTTAACATTAGCCACAAAGGAAAAACTTAACTTAAACAATGACATGGTAGGACATTAATGGAATAAGCGCGTCACATGAACGAACTATTGATAAATGCTTCGATTTATTTGGGGAAGAAAAAATTGAAGAGCTACCTAAAGCAGGACTCCTGTTGTGTGTGTGCGTGTGTGTGTGAGGACATTACCTTGAGGAGGGCGCCCCGGGTGTGGGTGAGGTCCTGAACCCTGAACACCAAGTAGCATCTCTGGGTGTCGAAGGGGTAGAGACGCAGGTCACAGTGGCACTTGAACTCGAGAGTGTCTTGTTGTTGGTGCATCAGTGTGTTGTTGTCCCCGCTGTACCTGTGGTCTGTACAAGAGCCACACTTATACTGTATACGAACCACACTTATACTGTATACGAGCCACACTTATACTGTATACGAGTCACACTTATACTGTATACGAGCCACACTTATACTGTATACGAGCCACACTTATACTGTATACGAGCCACACTTATACTGTATACGAGCCACACTTATACTGTAAAACACGTGTGACAGATAGGCTGTAGATCTTTACTAGGTTACTTATTAACTCTCAGGATGTCAAAACATTTTAGGATCTCAGACGTCAGCAGATGATGTATTAACCAACAGAAAGTGATTAACGAACACTCCATAAACAAGAGAGAAACAAGAAATTACAGAAAAAGTTCTATAACGAGAAATAAATTTTAAACTAAGGAAATTTTTATGAGATACTAAATAGAGTTGAGAGTCTTCAGGCACAGAAACAATATATAAATCCCCTAAACACAATCCTCAATTACAGAAATTATCAATATAATTACAGAAAAGGTAAGTTAACAACATTATATCATCTCATACCCACAGAGACGATTCATAAACTCGTTAGAAATAGGAAAACTTTGAACATCACTCTCCAGATGTTGACACTCACCCTCGTTGATCATCTGCTCGTCGTCAAGCAAAGGTTCCGTTCTGCGGATGACGTAAAGGACTCCTGCCCGCTGACCTTTCTTAACCAGGCTCTTGGTGCCATCAGTCACTTGCAGCATCGGCATCCACACCCTCTGCCACTGTCTCGCCTTGTTGGTCTGGTAGTTTGTTTGTAAGTTGGTGAACGTCAGCCGAGAATCGTTCCATTTAGTGTGCCATATGGCATCTATGGCAATGGTGAAGGAGGTCAGGTCGAAGATCCTGATAGAGGTGATGTTGATAAGGAAATAGATTGACAGGGGATCATTGGTGAAGCTTGGGGGAAAGTTGTCTTCCGAGTAACCCCTCGGGACCTTGATGACCTCACAGTTAAGTTCGTCGGAATGGTCGAGGCAGTCATTGTACGAGTTGCAAATTTTGTCCCTATGGATACAGGTGCCGTCTTTGCAGGTGAACTCCTCCTTACTACACAACGTCAGTAGCAACTCCACCTGTGTGAAAGGTTAGCTTAGTGTTTCGGAGACCCGCTGTCAGAAGAAGAAATACTGCTTGGCGAAAAACTAGCGTTAATACACGTACTGTACCTGTAACTGCTTAACAGGAGGGCTGTGGCAAAGTCTCTTTTATTCGTTGCAAACCTCCAGGCAATCATTCAGTTGCCTTTACCCTACCAATTGTATCTCCAAATACTCATTCCTACTAACACTCAATCTTGACATTGCTCACTACTGATCTCTGTGTTCTCTTACCTGTCTCTGGGCACATTTGTCGCCGCTGATGGTCCACTTACGGAGACCGATGGGGAAGGTGTCGGAGGTGTCAGCATACATGACGGCTTTCAGTCCCTGGTGGCGGCGGCTGACCATCACCCAGCTTGTGTTGTCCCACACCACGCGGCTGTGCAGTGCCCCGTCCACCTTAGGCCTCTCGTTCTCGTAGTCGTTCAGGTACAACTCGCGGTCAAACCACGTTGATTGACAGAGTCCCCGCAGTCGCAGTAGAGGTCGTGATGTAAAGTTACAGAGCGGACACGAAGTAGTGAATCCTGAACATGGCGTCTCATCCCAGAAATACCGGGTATTCCTGCCAAAAACTGTTATGCACTGGTGCTGTGCGCGGACGGGAGAGGACGAACCAGAGAAATTATGCCATGGTATAGGTTCTCCGTCTGTAAGTTGGACCCACTGCCCAGTCGAGACGTTCCCCTTAGCTCCAGCCCAAAACAGAGATAAGAAAGAGTCCTCGCAATGTGAGCTGAAGTGTTGGAATTTGTCAACTATATTCACATTGTCTTCGGCGTTTTTTGGTAGTGCGAGCGTTCCCTTTAGTTTCTCGCAGGTGGTGACGCTACCCTCAAATTCTTCCTTCTTGGGGATAAGTATCAAATAACTAGTCATTTTTTTGCATATTTCATATTCACTAATATTTGATTTTGTCGTTGGTCCTTTGAGCTCAAGAAGACCGTTGTTTAGTGTGAGTAATGGTGTGTTGGAGGACACGGAAGGTCCCTTTCTACAGGTGGTGAAACTCACCATTTCTTCGGGAGTCAGAATCACATTGTAGAATTTATAGTCGGCGATCTCTCCATCCATCGCCTGAGTAATGTCAAAGTCACCCTCAAGTGACTCCAGCTCTTGCCCAATAGTCAGTCGCCCACCACCCTCCATCTGCACCCTCTTCCCACCTCTCATCTTCGACTGGTCTATGATCTGCTCTTTCTTGTTTAACTGCAGAAAGACAGTAAAGTTTATAACATACAGAGGTATCATGGGTGTAAAATGTATCTGCAGTAAATGAGTTTAAGCAGTCTCTTTAGAGGGAAGCCCCATACTTAGGTATTTTAATCTGACTAGCACAAGACTATTTTACTCAGTTGAGAGAAACCCTTGCTCTCTAAAGGACTAACTATACTACCCTAAGTTACAATCTTCCCTTCATTAATTTTTTACACTATCCACAATGGTTCCCACCAAATATTGATGGATCTATAGAAAAACAAACTAGTTACACTACTTGAAAACTCAATAATGTTAGAATAGTTGTTTCATATGTATCATAATTTGTCATCTTATTGTAAACTTGCTCCCCCTGGTTGGCGCCTCAGCCAGACCAACAACGGTCGTCTGGAGACATTATGTTCCCGGGGACAAGTATGTCAGCCACTCATGCAAAACTTTTTTATCCTAGTGTAGGAAATTCCACCGAAAACTGATAGATTTGTTGATTTTATAAACATTTTATTACAGATACACAGACAGACAGACCTTTGTTGCTTCTACCCTTGGCCCGCGGGGAGAGATAATAATTGATAAATTACACGATGACATAATCCCGGCACATTACACAACAAAGAGTCATATTTCCGGTAAGTTTCGTAAGAGTTCTTTAACAATAAATTGTTGGACGAGTCGATTCCACAAACTTTTTATTACAGACAGAAAGAGAAACATACGCATGTCGTTACAACCGTCTGAAGTAAGTGTAGTGAATTGGCATTAATCATTTCACAACAATTTATAAATATATATGAATCATATTTACGGGGCAGGAGTCGTCGATATGACATAAACTAATATCAGTTAATTATCTGCCTGGTGATGTACACGGCCGCAGGTGTGCACGGCCATAATTAAACACCACTACAGTTGTAGACAGTCACAGGTGTATACGGCCACAGTTGTACACGGCTAAAATTAAACACGGCTACAGTTGTACACGACCCTAACTTACCTCACCATTGAAGACGTAGGTCAGGGTGCCATCGATCAGGTCCAGAGCGACACAGAGGTGCTGCCAGGTGTACAGCGTCACCACCAAAGGTAAGTCTTCCACCACCATATCGCGGCAACACTCAACATATAAACTATGTTCATTCCAACTCAGACCTTAAAAATCATTAGTTTGTTAAAAATAAAGGCCACCAAGTGTATTGTAAGACTGTTGTTGACAGTTATATATATATCGAAAAAGTTCAAATGGTTCTATTCAGTTATGTTAAATAACAGCTGCATGTAGGTATCTGCTACGTGGATACTCTTATACTGATAGCTAAGTCATTCACAATATATGGCGGCTCATAAAGTTCTACTGTATTTCAAATAAAAATATCTATGCATGAACTTTCATATCTATCACTTGTACCGCTAGTGCTTTAGTGCACAGAACCGAGTGGCCACATCTGTCGTTCTCCTCTCGTCTTACCAATCAAGAGTTCATTGTCGAAGCCTTGTACAACATAGCTGACAACTGGCACTCTTTTTCCTCCGTGCAGGAGACGGAAGTGAAGGCACACCGTCACCTGGCGACAATGAGCATTGAAACTTGTACAGTACCAGAAATGTTTCAGAGATTTGGATGACTAAAGACACTCACTCGAGAAGGTGGCACTTTTGTATACACACACACACACACACACACACACACACACACACACACACACACCCCAATTATCCCACACTCTCTTACTCGTGGTGATAGAGAGAAAATGATCACATCAACATTGACAATATTATAGTTGTTTAGAATCATCCCTAACTATATCTCCCTGACTTTATTTTCAATCTTTACTATGAGCATGACAATATTGCGATTTTGTTAATTTGAATATTAATACGTTAGTTTTCCTTCGATAGGTGATTTTTGTTTTTTGTTCTTTAACTTTTTTCACCCCTAAGAATTATTTTCAAAGAAGGGGTTAGGGGGGGGTGTATTAATATCGACACTGTTGGCCACTAACTCTCACCTGAGTCAAGGAAGGTATGCGTCCAACACCAGCGTCCAGCATACTCTCCATAGACGCCACACCATCAGTCTGGAACTTTACAAGGGTAACATTCCGTCCCTCTGAAACACACGAAGGTTTTAATATACTAATGTACTACTAAGTGAGAGCAATTTAAGATATAAGTAGTCCCAAGGGTGCTTCTGGGTTTTCAGGAGTCAGGACATACACAGCTCGTTCTCAGTGCCATGGTGTTCCCCTCAAGAGTTGTCTGATGTTTAACTCTCAAAAAAAGAAAATATTATATGCCAGTCCTTCTCCCCATCTATGAACCCCATGTAGCCTGAAGGCTGATGTGATCACATAGGAAAATCCCCACAGTATGAATAGGGAGAAACCATGGCCCATATATATATATATATATATACAGAGAGAGAGAGAGAGAGAGAGAGAGCACATTCCGGTGACAATAATAATAACAAGTGCAAAAAAAAAACATTTATCTAATCTCAAGTGGAACCACTGAATGCAGAACCATGTGTCAACACTCACTAAGCAAGAGGCCGAGACTGGAAGTTGGAGAGTGTTGACATTGACTACTCAGAACCTCATTCAAAAATATTCTTCATATTTTTTTAATCTAACGAAACTTCACAAACGTAAAAGCTGTATGGCGTTGCTTTCAGGGATATACACAAACAAGTAACAGGAAAAAATTGAACTTTTAGCTGGAAGCGATAGTGATAAAAATAATACTAATATTTTCAATGACCTTTACTGCAGTCCCGGTATCGAAAGAGAGAGAAAGAGAGAGAGAGAGAGAGAGAGAGAGAGTTGTGTGTGTGTGTGTGTGTGTGTGTGTCGATCATGGATAGATGATAATCCACCTCGGAACTCTATAATGAATCTTTGTGGTGAAGTAAAATAATAAGTAGTCTTCACCACTGTCAAAGGTTGTTGGCTGTACAGTAGATATTACCTCCTGTTAGATTCACCGGGAGTCGTCAATATAGTTTGTTAAAGTTTCAATTAAATATTAGCCCCTTTTCTATTTATTATATAAAAAATATATGTCTCTTGTCACAATCTGCTGGGTTTAGGTACGGATTAACTGACACACGGCCACAGGATAATGCAGTAGACTCAGTGCTTGGAGCCTACAGTCACACGTCCTGGAGGTGTATGAGGAAAAATCTTAAACTGAGTAGAACGCCGGTGACCTAATTACTTAGTTAACAGGTTAATGGGACGTGAAGGTGACTTAAATACCACCTCAATGTGACAGGAAATGGTGAGATAAGCTATGAACTCCCGCATGGAAGGTAACAGGATATGACAGTATGTGAATCTCTAACCCTTAATTAAGTTAATCCGGGAAGTGTGTTGTATATAAGCAAAACATGTAATTACCCCACATTTACATAAGTACTGTCTGTTTATATGTTGACAGAGGCTATTACGTGTGTGTGTGTGTGTGTGTGTGTGTGTAGACAGTAGGCTGCAAAAGCAGCTATTTTACAGTCATCAACTGGAAATGGTCACATATGTCAGCTATTTCGATAACGGAATTTTCTGATACTTTAGATACCGTAATTATGCCTGTTTAAGACTTCACCTTGGCTAGGCAGGTACCCATTAGTTGACTGAGGGAGGAGAGGCCCCACCTGGCATGCGACCTAAATTTGGATAAACATTTTTTTCTCTATTTCTCACACAGTATTTATAGATCTTCATTGATTACTGATTCCCCTTTTATATCCCTCAAATCAAAACAAGGCAATGCAACATACTCAACTTGTAAAAAATTCTCCAATGAGAGTATAGCGTCCAGGAAGTAAGCTTGCGAGGTGTAATATTATGCTTTTACAGCTACGGCAGGACATTCGACGAACAGTCTTGCACCCCAACCACTTTCTAACAATTCTGAATCCTCCATTGATGTAGAAGTAGGTATTAAGTCACTATGATCGCCAGTAATGTTCTTCTTGGTAACACAGAGGCATCGATCACAGGAGGGGAACACTACCCCGAGTGCATCTACTGTAATGCTTATCATCAGTTGTGTATTTTACTGCTGTCTTCACTCACACAAGGAGACACGTCTATAGTGTGTGTGTGTGTGTGTGTTCTTCTCCTCTCTCAGTTATTCACACCTGAGCAACATTCACTTATTTAGGTTAGGATTATTTTGAAAAGTAAAAGGCAAGTGTAGTCAGGAGGCCATGACGTTATTAGTCAAATTTCTTTTAATTATTTCGTCTTCTCTGATTTTGGATTGTGAGGTAGAGAAAACAACGAAAAAAATGGATCTACAGTACTTATAGGTTTAAAGTACCTTTTATTTTTAGAAATCTTATGTGTATTTATAAAATTAAATGTTTAAATTAAGGAAATATTAGTCATTCAAACTACACTTTCTGTCACACACACACACACACACACACACACACACACACACACACACACACGTACACACACACACACACACACACACACACACACACACACACACACACACACACACACACACACACGTACACACACACACACACACACACACACACACACACTGATAAATCAAAGGCGGTTTAATTTTATTCTATTAGAGAAAACAGAAAACTCATCTCCAAAGGAAATTCAGTTCTACTCTTTATAACTTACACTCTTACAGCAATATACTAAGTTATGAAAATTCTACACATTCGTCACCATACAAAGAGAGGAGTGTAAACATATGCTGATGATTAGCATAATATAGTCTACACACGGCACCTCAGACTGGCCTCATGTTTATTTATAACAAGAATTAGCTTAAACTTGTTTGTCTCTCAACACAGTTTGTCCTCGTGTGAATATTGTCAAGATTTAGGACGGTAACCTGTCTGTCTGTCTGCCTGTCTGTCTGTCTATGTCTATTCATTGATTTATCTTTAACTACATTTTCATCCATCAAAATGTCTGTTTATCTCTGTCTTTATTTTCATCAATATCTTTAATGTATTGCAGTGTGTGTGTGTGTGTGTGTGTGCGCGCGTGTGTGTGTGAATATGTATGTGTATCAGTATTACTGGTGTATATCACATCCACATCCGTGAGGCATTCGCATTTACATCACAATCAACATCCGCATCTGCAGAATTTGGATGTTGCAGATGTATAAAATTGTGTAAACCTTGCCTTAGTCACTTATCTCTCTCTCTCTCTCTCTCTCTCTCTCTCTCTCTCTCTCTCTTACTAATTTACTCTCAACAAGTTAAGAAACTTAGAGAATTAATTACAATTTTATTTTTGTACTTATGTGTAATTTTGTAAGGTAAATAGGATAAAACGGCAACACAGCTGAGAGGGTTACTGTAGTGCTGAGTGTGAGTCATGACTTTTTGCTTCCCAGAGTGTACAGAACACGTTTGTAAAGAGTCTAAATACTTAATTAACAATATTAATTTATTGAGATGCTTTTGTGTACAAAAAAAAATAAATTCTAATTCTCATATAGGTCTTACAAAATCGGAAATTTACAGAATTGACAGCGGAAAAAGGCACATTAATTAACAAAGTTAATTACTATTTTAAGTTTGAATTTAATTATATATAAATATATACATCCGCGGATGTCTGAAAATTGACATCCAATACAACAATATGAGTATGTCCGTATTTGAGTGTGTGTATCTCAGTACAGTGTGTTCACCGGAGAACACTCCTTCAGCTTTAATCCTCCTGTCACCAAACTTTTAATAGTGGATGGTATTTTCCCCAGGGTGGTCTTAAACGTGATTAAAAAAACAGAGGATTATAGTGAAGGTAGGCAATAAAAGTACATCCACCAGGCAGCAAGTTTGAGGACCAGTGCCAGTCATACCATCCCAAGCTGTCGTAAAGCAATAAAAGAAGAAAAAAATCTAAGGGGAGATATTATAGAGCTAGTCGTAATAACATTGAAATTACCTCACCTGAACTATGTATTAGGAGATACAACACTAAGGCTGGCCACATCATCTCTCACACCTGGCAATATAAATATACGGTTATCAGGTCGATCTTCACTTGTAGGGAAGATTACTGTTTGACACCACAACATAATATATGAATGTAATTATATATATACAAATACATGACGCTGCTCTCAGATTCACGGGGTGAGGGTGTTATTATGTACACCATAATAATTGACACACACACACACACACACACACACACACATTAAACATACATAACGTGCACACTTACAGACATGGATACTCCCACATGCACATTCATCCACTAACGCATATACACACACCCGTACACAGGCATACAGATACGCACACACGTCTGCAGACATTTACACAACACTCACCGTCACAGAGCGACCATCCACCGCGTCACTTCACACCGTCACAGAGCGACCATCCACCGCGTCACTTCACACGCAACTGATCGTCCAAGTGGAGGGAGTATTTATTTATTAGAGTGACCGCTACCTGTATTACGTTATTAACGCCTTCATAGTTCTCATTACTCTCCATCTGTCGTCGTTATAACTCACCCACGTTGTGTTGGGTAGATTAAGGGGCACAGGAACCACAAAGGGAGAGAGTAATGCTAAATATTGGTGCAGGGTAAGTGTAGAGAGCGACAACAAAGGCTCAGATAACAAATACCAAGAATTCATTTTTTTTTACAAATTTGTTCCACAGGCAATTTCGTTTTATCCTGTTCAGAAATTGATTCAAACATAGAAAATAAATCTGTGGAGAGCTTTAACTACTAAGGTCTTTATGCACGTAGTCTAGGTCAATACATACACGAGTCATCATGAACTCCGAGATTCAAACTCATGAATCCGAAGCATTTGTAGACAGAATAACAAATCGGTCTACTGCTTCGAGTTCATGAGACTGAATCTCGGGGTTCGTGGTTCATGGGTAGAGGCGAGCGGACTAAGTTGTTGACTGAAAAGGTACAAATGAACTGTCTACCTACAAAAAAGTCTGCTATTTTCAAAGATGATTAATAGTCTTTTACAAAAAAATACGTTCATTTAATGTTTTTATTTAATTTTTCTACCATGTCCAGATGTACATGGTGTTAACCTTTGCTACTTAAGTTTATATAGAAATATTCCTGTATATACATCATTTACAACACTGACACTACCACCTTCCAGCAACAACAACAACACTCCAGTAACAACAATAACACACTCTAGTAACAACAGTAACACACAACAGTAACAACAATATCACACTCAAATAACGTCAATAAAACACATTAGTAATAACAACACAGCAGCAACAACAACACCAATAACAACACCACCACCACCAACAACAACAACACCAATAACAACACCACCACCACCAACAACAATATAGTAGATCTTATTTACAAAAGCTACTCTCATTAAATTACAAACTCATAACAACAATATTTGGCTCAGCTCTCCCTGTACGCCGGCGTCATCAAGGTAACCATGAACCAAGGTTGTGATTGTTGAGATGTTGTTGTCCTTATTGAGATGCTTTCATTGTTATTGTTGTCCTTGTTGAGATTCTTTTATTGTTCTTGTTGAATTTGCTAACTTTTTCTCGTTGTTCCTTTCTACTTGTTTTTATGGTTATTATTGTATTTTTCACTTGTTATTGTTGTATTCCTCGCTTGCCCTTGTTTACTTGTTACATATTCATACAGTATATCCAAGAGACGTAACGAAAGAACAGGAATGAATAAAAGAATAACAAGAGAAAGAATATGAAAAAATAAAAAATTCTGAAAAATACATCTATTATAAAATACATCTATTATATTTTATAGAAAGTTGGCGTCCGCTAGGGAGAAGAATAACACACACACACACACACACACACACACACACACATACACACACACACACACACACACACACACACACACATACACACACACACACACAATTTATTTTACAGGAAATTGGTGTTCGCCACTGATAGCAAGAATCCGTACCCCTCCCCCAATACGTCAGCCTTCCACAGATTCAATTGAAGGAAGAGCCATCAATTCGTTTTAGAGACAAAAGCTGATATCTTCTCCACCAGCCTGAGTGCGACGTACCACATAGAAAGGGGAGTGAGTCAGTCGTGACAAGAATATGTAAATGAAAACAGACCTGTAGGACCAACGCTGTAGTTATATGGGTCCATGAATTTACTGTGTGTGTGTGTGTAGGGAGGGAGAGGCATTGATATACAGTACACACGATCATTAAGCAAAAAAGAATAAGGTGTCTCATAGGTCGTTTACAATGGGGGGAATTGTTGTCCTGTTTTTGTTTGTTTTTCTATTATTTTTAGGTGAGGAAATCATAACAAATCAAAGAAGATGGCAAGAGAAATTATCACTGAAATGTTGGGATGATTTCTTGGGAATTATTTTTTCCTTGTCATCGTTCACTCCAATTTCTTATTCCCTTCCAGTCTTCCTCCTCCTACTTTTTCCCTTCTCTTCCCCTTCTTCTCTTCCTCCTCCTCTTCTTCTCTTCCTCCTCTTCCTCTTCTCTTTCTTCTCTTCCTCCTCCTCTCTCCTTTTTCCTCTTGATTTATTCACCTCCCTCATATTTCAAAAATTACATCTGAAGGTTTGAGTCTCAAGAACTAGCACATGAAAGCGTCGTTATCAATATTTCAAAGAACCATTTCTAATACAGTTTCCCCTGGAGCGACAATGGCATGTTTCTAGTTGTTGAAAATGTATTAAAGGCGAAATTTAGTTTGGGTGTCAAGTATGATGGTCGCTTGAAGGGAACATTATTTTACACCATAAAAAATATTGCTAAAAAGATGTGAGATATAATGCAAATAAATATTTTCCCACTGTGATAAAAATAAATACACTAAAAACTTTGTACTAAGTAAACAAGAAACATAATGGAAGGAAATCTGGTGTATAAACCGACAGTGGGCGACACCTGTTGGCCGACCATAGCATTTCCCCCAGTTGTTTCGAAACTTCAGACTCAAGGCAATTCGAACTCTCACTGTGGCTGGGTAGTGGACACGACTTTGGTGCACAATAGTACATAAATTTTGTAAACTTACATTACGTTCTAAGCCAAAGTAGCACAATTTGCTATCAAGCACGATCAGCTCCGCCGATCAGCAGCTCCACACTCTTGTAGTGGATTTCTCCCCTACAAACACGGTTTGTTGCTGAGTAGCCGACCCCACCAACTCCCCAGTGTATGCCTCGTGGTCTGGGTCAACCAGCGCCGCCATACATCACGGAGCGGGGGTCAACTACTAAGCCACGCCTACCCCCCGCTATTTAAGACCTGACCTCGTAGTGACTTGTCTCTCTTTCTACCTACACCAACCAGCCAGCAACACCTCCTCCTCCGTCTGCCTGGCGGTCCTCGCTCCTGCCAGCGAGCATGGCGACCCACAGGATGGTCCCACAGGATGGTAACCATGCTGCCTTCCCAGCACCAAGCTGCATTGTACATCCAATACAATATGTATACTGTATAGAGAGCACATTGTGAGTTTCCTTTCTCCATTCCATCCTGAGTGTGAACCAAACATCTCATACCCCACACTCTCGTTCCGTCCAGAATGCTCTGCCCTCCTCCCTCTCTATTACAATCCCGTTCAAAATATGAGCACAGATACGGAACTCCTGAACACCTAACCATGAGCCCATACTATGGACCATACAATGAATCCACGTTCCATGTCTCAACCAGTACATTCTGTCGGGACATCGAGTAACGGGTGCAACTTTGGAAGAAATATAGAGGAAGAACCATTACTCTCGCTGTCTCACGCATTCTTTGTTGACATTTGAGAAGACCTTGACCTACCTCACACGTGTTCTGAGTTTACATTTGATTTTCCTGTGTCATGCTGGAACATGTAGATCTCCCGTAGACATTCGAGACAGTCCTCTAGATCTACCTCAATTCGTCCTCTGGTACACATGCACCCGAAAATGTAGTACAGATACAGGTAATAATAATAATAATAATAATAATAATAATAATTCATATAAATAAAATTTATAATAAAAAATATACACGTAAAAATAACTTAATAAAATAATAATGATAAAAATAATAATAATAACAACACTGTAATAATAATAATAATAATAATGTTACGAGTTGGGGATTTAGAATATAGTTAAAAGTCTACCCAGATCCCAACAGGCAACAACAATAAAAAAACAAAGACAATCGGACTATAAAAGGGTAGACAAAGGTTGCGAGTTTTCGTTGTGTATAATAAAGTACCAAAAATCCCTTAACAAAATATTCAGCTTTCTATAAATTACCCTTAACCATACTTAACCTAAACATTAACAGTATATACATATTTATACAACATAAAACAATCGTGAAGCAAGGTGGAGGTGGGAGGCAATATAAGATTACAAATACTTAAGTGCAGAGCTGAGATGGCTGACGAGTAAGGCTGAGTATTGTAGAAAACGGTGGTAGTCACTGTCCCGTAGGTTTAGTGGATAGATGATCCTGTGGTCACTTCCCAGAGTGAACTGAACTCTCATCGAACTGGAGCTGACGAAGAAGACTTTGAGGAGGTGACGCAACAACCAGGATATGGAGAAGGGAAACCCCGGAGTGGTAACTAAGAGTAGTCGTACTCGGGTTTCGTCCCTAGATGGCGTTGCTCGTGGTGCTGGGTAGGTAGATCAGGACAATAGATGGCGTGGTTCGTAACAATAATAATAATATTAATAAAAGTGAGAAACAATACTACATACATATACAAGTATGTTGTGTTGTCAATAGTAAGAGAAACAATTGAGACCCTGCAATTGTGTGTAAATGAGGCAGAAAGTCAGATCAGCAACCTGGGACTTGGTCACAATTTTTGTGATGCCATGGCAGCAGGGTCTACCATTAGACAACACATTATGCTTCCAATATCTTCCCAGGCGGTAGTACCTCCCTGTTTGATAGCTGCCTACTACCTACTACCTAGTTGGATAGTTTGAGTTCCTTTGTTTAGCCTGACTTCCATTTATACACCTTGATCATATTGCCCCTCACTCTAAGTCTCTCAAGGGAGTGCAAATTAAGGTGCTTTAACCTGTGTCTGTACTCAAGGTTCCTCATGCCCATGATAGTTGTAGGAATTCGTGGTATAATGTTGTCTAGCACTCAGGATGGATGGAAACTCTAATGTGGTTTTCTTGTATAATATAAGTTATATGATAGACAGTCTGGTGCTGGAGGTGCCGTGTGGTGAGGAGCTGCTCAGTAGAGACGTTCGGTGAGTAGCGTGTTGAAGGAGGTAGATGTGCAGGAGCTTCGTTAGAGAAGATGATGCCTGTTGCTGGCCTCCTGGTTGAATGAATGCTGACAGCGTGGAGCTTGCTGGAGGAGGTGTTGCTTGTTCAGGAAGATGGGCAGAATGAGAGCTGGTTGGTGAGGAAGCTCAGAGAAGGACAGCTGGTGGGTCGCCATGCTCGCTGGCGGGAGCGAGGACCGCCAGGCAGGCGAGGAGAAGCGAGGGCCGCCAGGCAGCGGCGGAGGAGGAGGTGTTGCTTGTTCAAGAAGAGAGACCAGAATGAATCTCAATGGAGAGACAGAGCTTATATACCCAGCAGCCGTGAGTCCTCTATGAGTCATGTTGGGAAAACCTGAGAAAGTCGCCGGTCTCTAGTTCCGTTGCTAGGTTACCGTAACATCTGGTGTCGCCGCTCGCTTGGTTGCTAAGGAAGGCGTCGCAGGTGGGATGCAGCTACGCAGTTTGTAGGGGAGACGTCCACTACATAGTGTTGTCAAATGCCCGGGATTAGGTTGACATTCAACATTTGATATACAGTATAGTAATGAAAAGGTTACTAACATGGGGTAAATTATAATACGAGTAGTATGAGGCTATGAGTGGTCATTTAAACTTGTAGAACTTTTGTTATTTATTTACACCAGGATATTCCATTGAATTGGTGCATAGACTACTCACGTTTAATATTTACATTGGAAGTGTATTTTAATCTTCAGAAATTTTTCAGTGTTTTCAGTGGTGAAATTATTTAGAACTGCGATAGAGTAGGACATTGTCTTTTTACCTTGCGTATTTGTATGGGGTTACAGTCGTTTCACTCATATATTATTCAGGTGTAAATCGCTATTCCAAATTTTTTTCTAATGGAACTCTTTGAGGCAACTGTACATATAGTATTTCTTTCATCCTGTGTGTTTGCAAATAAG